TACGTAGCTTTTTCTCTGGTAATATTACACTAATAACTAGAGCATACAAAACATTTGCTAGACCAATACTCAAATATAGCTCATCAAGTCAATGTCTGGAATACTCTACCTGACTCTGTGGTTTCTTCCCCAAACCCCAAAAACTTTAACCTTTGACTTTCTACTATTGACCTCACCCCTTTCCTAAGAGGTCTGTAGGGGGCGTGCATAAGCGCACCAAGGTGCCTACTGTCCCTGTCCTATTGTTTCTTTTATTTTTCTTATATATATCTGTTGAGGTAATTCCCCATTAGGAGAATGAGCGCATACAGGGAGACGTATTTTGAGAGTAGTGTTTGAATAATACACATACAGCACACAGATACACTGTACAGTAAATGTAGGGTTTTACTTTCAATAAAGGTTTAAGCAAAGTTCAAAATAGGCAGTCCAAAGTCATTCACAGGTTAAATCAGTCAGTTTTTAATCCAGGGATAATTCAATAACAAAGTCCAGTGTCAAAAAACAGTTCAGTAACAGACTTACATTAAATCCAGGAATATCAGTCAATTAGGAAAAATGGAGGAACGGCAATACTTTCCAACAGAAGGAAACAGAGACTGACTCACACTCTCTTCTGAGACTAAGACTAAACAACCCAGGTTTCTGGCTCCATCTTATGGCCGTTTGAGAAACCACACCGAATTACAGTTTTGCATTTTTTTAAAGATACAGTTTTAAAATGTCTATCCTGGTTTATATATTTCTAACCTAAATACATGTTAGGTGACTTATATTCCTAACAATATCCATGTATTCATAACTATGTTTTTACTTATACCTATTTGTTGTGGCTCGGAGGTTTGAGCCTGCTTTGTCAGAGGTCGAGGACTTGGACAATGAGGAAGAGGAGGATTTGGCTCTGAGGTTTGAGCCTGCTTTGCTAGAGGATTTGGAGTTGCCTTCCTCCCCAGGTCTTTCCTCTTCGGCAAGACCTTCCTCCCTGATTGTGCCTCAGGTATCGGCAGATAACCAGGAGAGCGTATCAGAGTCTCTGACTGAAGATCAAGCTGAGGAATGCTGGCTTGATGCGAGGCAACAGCGCAGGAAAAAGTGCGAGTTGCAACGCAGAAAGAAAGGACGAATCAGAGACTGAGATGAGGGACTGACACGCCCCACAAGGAATAAAAGTGGGTGTGTTCGCTCTGAGAACTTGTTCGGGACGTGTTAATTAGTGAGAGAAGCTTCGGAAGATCCTGTGTGTGGCGACAGCTTGTGATTTATATTCCTGCTTTATTGTCGGACTTGGCAGACAGCTTGTGTGAGACTGCCAAGAACTTTCTCGGCTCAAGGAATTTAACCCTGTCATTAAAGACCTTGGAATACTCACCTCTAATGATCTAAGTGCTAGAGCCCACTGCAACTACATAGCCAAAAAGGCATTAAGAGTTGTTAACCTAATCCTACGTAGTTTTTTCTCTGGTAATATCACACTACTAACCAGAGCATACAAAACATTTGCTAGACCAATACTCGAATACAGTTCATCAGTCTGGAACCCTCATTACGTATCTGATATTAGCACAATTGAGAAAGTCCAGAAATATTTCACAAGAAGAGTTCTCCACTCTTCTACTCGTTGTAGAATACCTTATGCCACCAGACTTGAAATTCTAAAACTAGAAAACCTTGAATTACGCCGTCTTCGGTCTGACTTAAGCATGGTATATAAAATCATACATTGCAATGTCCTACCTGTCAATGAATACTTCAGCTTCAACCATAACAACACAAGAGCACACAA